CTACGTTGTGGATATTTGACATGTTGAGATGTTACATGCGGCAAGAATGCATACAAAGCATGCATGCATTATTGCCGCCGCAGGTTCCCTGTAGGAACAGGCTTCCGTTTGTGACATTTACACAGCACAGTTTGTCGATGCCTGCGGGCGTTCGTCAATCTGCGCTGTCGTTTTTATTGCATTTATAGACCTAGTTTGTCTACCGGGTGATCTTCGGTTGCATTTAAAGCCTTTACAAACTTGTCTGCCTTGTCTCCATTGCTTTTCTGTATTGGCTCTGTCGTCCATTCTGCTTTTCTTATTTGTCCTGCTTTGACTCGCATATGCAATCCTCACTTATCCCTGATAGTCACGCCGTAAAGCTGTTTCTCTATTCGTGGACTTGTGCGTGTGATTGAGTAGTATCTGTTGTCTTGATTGTTTCCTTTGCACTCAGTTTGCTGCCTCTATTCTAAGCTGTGTCCTAGTTGCCTCGAGTGTCTGAATTGTGTCGATTTCTTGCCTTTCTGTTATTATATCAACTCAGCGTAACAAGCGGTTGAAAAAAAGCAGGGTTGCTGGTGCATCACAGCCCTTCTGCAACGGCAATGAGCTGCTGCAGGTGTTCGTTGTTTGTTCCACAAAGGCGTTGGATCTGCAGCAACGCGAGGCGCACCCAGCGGCTCCTACCTGCTCTATCTCCAAAGACATGCCTAGGGGCCCTTTCAGGGCACGTCAACGGCCGGAGCCCTCTCTCACAAATAAAAACATACACTGCTTCCCAAAGAGAAAGACACCGATCTTCGCATGCATTCAACTCCGTGCACATGACTTCCTCGTGCGTGCGGCCCGGGGACGTCTTGGCCTGCAGAGACGCTGACCAGGCGCACAGCCTTAGGATGTCCACACAGCAAGCAGAAGCCAGCGCAGCCTGTTGTTTCTGAAAGGTTCCTAAGGTATCCGCATTATCCTCCTCATCCCCAACCAAACCAAGAGACTGGCTACACGCCGCCAATGCCCAGAGACATGAGAGACACGCAACCGACGCATCCAGCAGGTCGGATGCCCAAGGCGGGGTGACAGTACACCGCATGATGCTTTCGCCGTAGCCGTCTCGGGCCCCCTCAAACACCCATGCAGCCTCGCCAAAGACAAACCAAGCCCGCGCTATCCGCTGCAGCCCCTGTAAGAGGTCAAGCAGCAGATGCCGAGCTGCGTGTGCCTGACGCAGCCCGTCTCCGAAGCCGACCGAGGACCGCGTTTGCGTTCGACATCCCTCCTCGCCAGCGCCTGCACCAGTCTCTTCTTTCCCGCTGCTGCTTTCAGCACCTTGACGCAACTTGAAAAGTTGACGCCTTGCCTTTAGTGCGGCCTGCAGCAGATGCTGATTCCCAGGGCCTGTCTCCAGAGGCCAGAAAGGTTCAACATGCCCTGTCTCCTCTGGTTCTCCACGCGTGACAGATGGTGCTGCCTGTTCCACTGACGGGCAGCCGTTGCAATTTGCATGCAGCACGGCGCCTTCACAACTATCGGCGACGCTCGCCGCAGCTTGGTCTCCTTGTGCGGCGCCGCCATCATCTGCGCAGGAGACGCTGCCGCCACCCATGCAAATGCGCGGGGCTGGCCAGTCTGGGAGGGGAGCGGCCAATGTTGCGGCGGCAATCAGAGACCACAGAAAACGCGTGCAGTCCCTCATAAGAGACAGCCACTTGGGTGTTGGGTCCACACCCCCGTGCGGAGCCTCCGTCCTATCTCCTCCCCCTACGCCGCCAATTCGATGGCCCCCACCCACCGCATGAAGGTGTTTTTGCTGGTGGAGCAGTTTACTTTCGGTTGTAGAAGATGCTGCATGCAGCGACAAAGGTGGGGGGGGCACGGGCTGACTGGTTAGTGCTGTGCAGTCCCTCGCCGCGGAGATTGCGGTCCCTTTACGACCCCGAGAAGAGGCTTCAAGGGAAGTTAGGGCG